TTCTTGGCTTGAGACACTTTCGAAAATCAAATGAATTCACCCACGATTGTAGTAAATAAACCCACTTTAGATTCCTCTATTCTTTTGACCCGTATCGAACATTTGAGGGTGAAAACTTTATAATAATACAGCAAGCCAGCAACATTATGATGGAATGGGTAAGTTTCAAGAAATAACTTCTACAATCAAAAAAGTGGCAGTTTACAAACCGTCATTTTTATTGTGACTCGAGCAGGCAAAACTGATACTTCATTGAAGACTTTCGAGATGTTGAATAATTAGCAACCACAGCGATTCAAACACTTTGGAGAGGACATCATAGAAGGTGAGAACATTCTCCTCAGTTTATCCTATTTAGAATATTTGAGAGATAAGTTTTCAGATGTTCTCCACGCCTACAGACTGAACGTATATTATCATGAAACTAGAGAATCTTTTGACGAATGGATGAAAGCAAACGGCGGTGACACCTTCGAAGCTCGTAACCGGTCTCAGGTTTGATGCTCCTTTGGATATCTGAGCTTCACAAATTTTATCAGTTCAGGTGCACAAGACTCAAATGTTAGGTATCGCTTATGCAGAACACACAGCCATTCAATCGGCTGCTGATACAAATAGGGAGCTGGAGGATCCACGAATTCGCCAGGTGAGCCAGAAGGGGTAGCGTGAAGGTCCAGCATTACGGCCATAGATGAATTACGTAAGCGGTCCGATGAAAAATGATGAACTAATCTCGGAGGCTTGTCCACAACCTTTTGGCGGTCACTGTATATAGGCTGGGTGAAGTTGTCGACGGTAAGCCGAGACTTGTGAAAATCGTAGTCTCCTCAGGACACTTTTGGTCAAGCTTTAGCAAATTCATATCGGCAAGAAAGCCCTTCCTAATATCTAGCTGCGCAGGAGCATGACACCCGCAGAGCAGGAGCTTGACGCTGACTTAGGCAGAAGGCTAGAGAGGAGGAATCGAGAAAAACCTTCAAAAAAGCGGGTCGTCTACAGGGTTGAGCTTGAGCATATCACACAGCTCGCAAGGCGTCTTGCAGGGAAACGCATGAACATGCCAGGTTCACTTGATCATATTTCTTTTTATTTAATCATTGCACGTAGAGTCGAGTTAATAAAATGCATCTTAGGATGTATCACCCAGCATCGGTCATGCGATTTCGCGTGCGCGG